TCTTATCCACTGGACACTTCACCCTCCACTCCAGTCCTCCATGGCTATGTCACTGACTCTGGGCCCAAGAGTCCCCAGGTCTTGCCACACTGCTGACCATCCAGGTCTCCACCTGGGTTCACAGGAGTCTATTGACCATTGTAGGGCTTAGCTCGCAGCCTCATAGCTGTTTTTCCCTCATTTCCCCTTGTTGGTGGTGAACGTGGTCACCCATCAGAGTGTGTATTCCCATTGTGTCTTAGTCTTGGAAGGGGGTTTACGCTGAGGGGACCCGACCCCTTGCCTTGATATCTCCTGGGCAGGCAATTTGCTTGTTCTTGTAGTAATTGGTCGGTCTGCCTCTGTTTTTTTGTGTTTTTCCTGTCAGTCTTTCTTTCAAGAGGTATCTTCTGTTCTAGCCACTCCAGGCTGGTCTGCCTATTCTCTCAGGGGCGGAATTTCCTACCTCTGAAGATTCTGGATGCTGTTTAGGATTCTTCCTATAGTCTTATGAAATTCAGAGGCTCTGCAGGCAGCCTCCTTCACTGGGCACATTGTATCCTCATTTTAGGTATTCCAATCAGTTATAGGCAGAAAACGGATTTATAAGCTTTCTATTTCTATTTCTGGCTTTTCCTTTCTCTCCCCTTCCAGTGTCTATTTTATAATGTAATGCAAGGAATACCAAGATTCAGTAGACAGCTAAGCATCTTAACATTATTTCACCCTTTTTCCCTATTCCAACCATGTCTCAATCCGTGTACCCCAGAGCCCTGTTGTTCCAAGGTTGTGCATACATTATTATTTACCTCTGTCCCACTTAGCCCATGCGAACCTGCCTACTTGTTCTCCCCTCTGCTTTATTCTTCCATTCCCCTCTCCCTTTTTGTGTATTGCCCCCCTCCCCAGCACCCTAACTATCCTGTGTCTATTCCCTGCCCTGTTCTCTACCTTTCCATCCCTCCCCTTACCCCGCCTCCAACATTTCAGCAATCAGTAAAGAATTCCCCCAACCCCCTGTAGTATGGGTTCTTTTTCTTAGTCATTTACAGTAGTGGTCCTAAGCAGTATTTCTCTTTTTGTGACTGACTAATTTTACTCAACATAATGCCCTCAAGGTTCATTCATGTTAACTGGTGGTTTGTAGCTTCTTTGTTATTCTTCAAGGTAGCATAATACTCCATTGTGTGTATGTACCACAGTTTGTTTATCCATTCTTCAGTTGATGGGCACTTTGTCTCCATCTCTTTGCTATTGTAAATAGTGCTGCTATGAACATTGGTGTGCATATATCTTCTCATGTTGTGGCTCGTATTTCTTGTGGGTAAATACCAAGTAGAGGAA